GGATCGTCAAAAGAGTTTGGATTGTCGAAGCTGGGCCGGTCCAAGGTCCAAAGGTCCAAGAGTGTAAAGAAGGGGGAACATTCATCCTTACCTTAAGGTATAGCGGAGGAAAATGCATAATTGCGGGCAACAATCTAAACGCGCTCGTACTAGGCTCGGATAGTGGGATATGCATCATGGTAGGAAAAGCCATCACTGTGCCGAAATTGGAGGTCACAGGTCAAATGGTCAGTGGGCACAGGGGCAGATTTTTAGACATTTTTCTGAGGGACATGGTCTGACGGAGCGATTGAAAACTTTTTTGTTTCAGCGGTGACTAGATTTTTATGCTTTATTGAAGCGGACCATGAAATGTCCTTTCTGCTGACATGCGAAGAGTAAGTGTCGGATAACCTTTTGACCGCTCAAGAGGAGGGTTAACATGGATTTGTTGACTGTTAACAAAGGAGTGAACTGCTTTGTGCTATAGAGCCCCCTCCCCCCCCCTCCCCCTTCCCCTCCCCAACCCCTCCCCCCCACGCCCTTCCCCACCCCCTCCCCTACACCTCCCCTCCCACCTACCTCAAAGTGAGGGCTTAAACATGGATTTGTTGACTGTCTGTTAGAAGAATTTTGACTGCCGCGGTTTGCCTAGTAGAATTCCATTATACATTGCTGGATGTATGAGCGCTACCAATTCACAGTGAAAATTTCAAAACGCTAAATTTGGTTTATAAAGGAAGGTGTATATTCCCTTAAATCGGTATAATTCTATGATCATTCTGTACTGTGCAGTTGGCTTACATGTCAGTAATGTTCGCCACTGCAGTGGCTGTGCATGTGTTGGGGCCAGTTTTTGCCTGCATAATTGGTTACAGGTGGCAGCTCTCTATTGCAATTTGCAGCCTGTAGGCTTGCGTAGGTAAATGGATGAGTGCTGCTTTACTTAGATTCTTCTTGCAAATAGTTGCTTGTACTCACGAATGATGGTGAGCTTCCATCCTATTACATCTGCAAGACACTTAACGTAACACGCCATCTCGTGGAACTTTCATAAACATCCCAACGAACATTTTTTCGAGAAGGTGTTCTGATACCATCCTGCTTGGCATATCCACTATTTCGGACGTGGTATCGTGAACAACATTTTGGACTAACAGGGTTTACTAGAATCCCACCACTTCCACCACAGAGCTCACCGCAGTAAGACGTTATAGTATGAGCTGCTGTCCGATGCGGACACTTGTTTCTCTGATAAGTCTGATAAGCAATGTTGTTCGTCTGGATTTGACATGGAGAGAGGTTAGGATGAGAGCGATCTTAGGACGTGCTGAATTGCTTCTGTCACGGTTTTAACTGAAAATTTTAGTCTAAAACTGAAATAGTTAGCGGTTCAGATGAGAAAAGCACTGGGGTGTGAGGATCGCGTCTACATGGATTGTGATGTTCGTATTATTTCTTCAGAACTGTAACGTAAGCATCCCGTAATGTCTGCACGTGTGTCGTGACGTAAATCACACGGTTTTACATCGGCGTTAAGCGCCTAATTACCGCCCTAATTAACTATGATAACGACCTGCGACGACCGAGCATTCGCGGATCGCCGAGCGTCTGGTGCCGTGACGCGGGTGCGTCGTTGCCATGGGTTACAGCCATGACGACGATGGGAGCATGAGGTGGCGTGCTTGGACGCGACTCCGCTCGGCAGCGACGGAGAGCGCGCGCAACGCTGCGCCGTCGCGTCTGTGGACGGACATCTCCGCTCGCCAGTGCTCAAGCTGCCTGCTTCGACCCCTCCACGTCGAGATGCTGGGAGGAGGTACGCGAGGGGGGAGGGAGGGAGGAGGGTGGAAAGGGTAAGGGGAGGGAGGAGGAGGAGAGGAGGTTGGTGGCAAGAAGCGCTGGGGAGGTGGTGAGAGGGTAGTGGCGAGGTGGTTTGCACGATTAATAATTAAAACTCGTTACTAATTGCGGCTCATTCTCTCAAGTGCGCTCTCGTAAGTTAACATTGCGGTCGCCGGCCTACATTGCCGCTCATTGTTGCATTGCAGAGATCATCCCTCGCCAGCATCCTACATGACAACGTTTGAAGGCATCAACTACCTGGCTGCGTTGCCTCGCGCGACGGATCCGCTTTCTACTTCAACCTCGCCGCCGACACCGGTGTGAGCGAGCACGTTCACTTGTTTCCCGCTCTCGTTCTGCGCGCGCTGTCCGTTCGTCTGTTCCGTGTCGAACATTAGATTGTTGAGGCTTGATGTAGAAGTGTGGGAGGGAGGGAGCGGTGAATCAGAATCAGGGTTAGGGTTTCTGTTCTCATTCATTCGTCGTTTGTCTCACCAGTATGAGTTATTCTGAGACTAGATTAGGCTTTGAGTTAGTATCAAGATAAGAATAAAGATAAAGAATGGAATAAGGTTAAGGTAGCGTTAGGGTTTAAATGTCACCAAGCTAACATTCTGTCATCGTACCGTTGTCACCATTGTCGTTTCCCATTGTTTCATCACACCCTGTTACCACCATCATCGTCACCGCTGCTGTCACCATCATCGTCACCGCTGCTGTCACCACCGCCATCGTCAGCCGCTGGTCTGTCACCACCTCATTCGTCACCGCTGCTGTCATCACCATCATCGTCACCGCTGCTGTCACACCGCCATCCATTTGTGGTAACGAGCATACACTTGTGCTAACCATTGTTCTCACCTGTGGTAACGAGCATACACCTGTGCTAACCATTGTTCTCACCTGTGGTAACGAGCTTACACCTGTGCTAACCATTGTTCTCATCTGTGGTAACGAGCATACACCTGTGCTAACCATTGTTCTCACCTGTGGTAACGAGCATACACCTGTGCTAACCATTGTTCTCACCTGTGGTAACCATTGTTCTCACCTGTGCTAACCATTGTTCTCACCTGTGCTAACCATTGTTCTCACCTGTGGTAACGAGCATACACCTGTGCTAACCATTGTTCTCACCTGTGCTAACGAGCATACACCTGTGCTAACCATTGTTCTCACCTGTGATAATGATGCTACCTTCAGCCTCAACATTGTCCTGTTTCCAAGGACCTTTCAGGAATTCCTTGTCCTTGAGAGAGATTTCGTACGTTTTGGCATGCCTCCCATTTTGATCCTGCCATGAAGAATTATCACAGTCACTCTCATTAATGGTATTAGCGATAGACAACTTCGAACCAGCAGTTTATCTCACATTACATATAGCATGCGAACTAAAACAATTCGTATAACATGCTTCCTTCAGCACAAATATTCTCATATGTCTATATTCTCATTATCTTCTTCATTCTTCATTCTTCATTCTTCATTCACTATATTGCCATTCTCATATTACCTGTCACGTGCTCCCACCTAGTGGCAAAAACCATTAGTATCCGCTTGAAATTCTACGCTGCAGATCAACAGAATGCTGTGACAACAAACGAAACATTCCAGCACTTTGCAAATCTACCTCGGCTTTCTCGGCTCGTTAATGACATCGTGTTACAGCCAGCTGATGATCACTAGGGGGCGCTGCTTACCTGGTGGACGAGAATGATGGTCGGGACGGGACATCCGTATAGAAACTTCACATCTATCACGTTAAGCTCCTCAAGCCTGTAATAATAATAACAACAACACTATCATCACCATCATCATCATCATCATCATCATCATCATCATCATCATCAACAACAACAACAACAACAACAACAACAACAACAACAACAACAACAACAACAACAACAACAACAACAACAACAACAGCAGCAACACCATCAATGACAACGTCAACAACAACACAGCAGCAACACCATCAACAACAACAACAACAACAACAACAACAACAACAACAACAACAACAACAACAACAACACCAAACCATCAACAACAACAACAACAGCAGCAGCAACACCATTAATAACAATGCCATTAACAACAACAACAACATTACAAACAACATTACCATGAGCATTAACAACATCACTGGCCAGTTTCGCACTTTTGCTAACCACCGCTCAGCTTCCGCATGTTTCAACGCAAAGCGAATGATAACGAACCCAGGAACCACTCACCTCCCTCCCCAACCCTTCCTCTCCCCTCCCTCCACCACTCCCCCGCCCACCACCATTATCCCGCCCACCCTCTCACCTCCCTCCCCCACCCGCCCCCTCACCTGATGTTGAATGCCTTCAGCTCGCGGTTGTCTCGTTCCAGTGGGATGACCTTGAATAGTCCATCGTAGAGACGCAGCCCGATGACGCGACACTCCGGGTCGATGATGCCGATGATACCCGTCTCAGACGGACGCCCGATCCGATCCTGCAACAACGCCGCCATCTTTGAGCGCGAGAGCGATTGAGAGTGAGCAAGGCGACGCTGCCATCTTTGATCGAGAGCGATTGAGAGCGAGCCAGGCAATGCTGCCATCTTTGAACGGTATGACATGGCTTGCCATGGCATGGTGGGGTGTGGTGCAGTGTGATGCAGTGTGGCATGGCGTGGCAAGGCATTGCATGGCTTGGGATGGCATGGCATGGTGTGGTACACTGTGGTGCAGTGTGACACAGTGTGGCATGGCATGGTACAGCATGGCATGGCATGGTGTGGTGCAGTGTGATGCGGCATGGTGTGGTGCGGCATGGCATGGCATGGTGTGGTGCAGTGTGATGCGGCATGGTGTGGTGCGGCATGGCATGGCATGGTGTGGTGCAGTGTGATGTGGCATGGTGTGGTGCGGCATGGCATGGCATGGTGTGGTGCAGTGTGATGTGGCATGGTGTGGTGCGGCATGGCATGGCATGGCGTGGTGCAGTGTGATACGGCATGGCATGGCATGGCGTGCTGCAGTATGATGCAGTGTGGCATGGCGTGGCGTTGTTACCTGCACGTTGCCATGGGCGCGCGTGATGATCTCCATGTCCGACCCATGCTGCTCCCACTCGAGTATCATGGCGCTGTAACGTGCCGTCAGGATGAAAAGCAGGTCCTTCTTCTCGTTCTGCAGAACAACGGTGGAACGTCGCGTAAACAATGGAACATCGCGTGAACAACGATGGAACATCGCGTGCACAACGATGAAAGGTCGCGTGAACAACGGTGGAACATCGCGTGAACAACGATGGAACATCGCGTGAACAACGATGGAAGGTCACGTGAACAACAAAGGATTGTCGCATGAACAACGGTGGAACATCGCGTGAACAACGATGGAACGTCACGTGAACAACGAAGGATTGTCGCGTAAACAACGATGGAACATCGGGTGAACAACACAACATGTGTCTGGTGGTTACCACGTATGAAGAAACCATGTGAAACCATCGCCGGCAGCCATTGGTTAACATCGTCAATGCGATGTAGTGTGACATCATGTCAGTTGTCACACGTTGGCGAATACTTATCGTCACACTTCAGCAAGGATGTACCTCAGAATCTGATAAAACCTAGAGCTGATCATTTCTCCTTTCCCCTTTTTAGACTACAATTTACGCAAATAAATCTGATAATTCAATCAAAAGCATGGCCCCACTATACTTGCATATACATACACAACATGACATACATGAGGTCTGTCTCACAAATAGCGTGTAACTAAACAGACATTTTACAGAAATTACATGTGAGGAGCGCCGTGCATCTCGAGGAACACTGTTAATTCAACCAATCACTGCGATTTCTGCGACGCTGGGCAATCCAGCGTTTAGATAAGCATTCCCAAATTTTGTGTCTCAGTTGCCGACGTGACACCGCTCCTCTCCTCGACATTGTCGTTGAGTCGTTGACGTACATACTACGTACATACGTACGTACGTACTACGTACATACGTACTACGTACATACGTACATACGTACTACGTACATACGTACTACGTACATACGTACTACGTACGTACGTACATACGTACTACTTACTATGTACATACGTACATACGTACATACAACTATACACGTAACTTGTACTTGTAACGATTGTAATTATAAAACAGACGAGCATACGCATGCACGCTCCTAATCGTAATAATTTCCTCGACATTGTCGTTGACGTACCGGCGGGCGGAACAGCTGCATGACTGCGATGCGGCCACGGATGTCAACCTCCTTGAGCGGCCGCAGACCCTCCGGTGCAACCAGGTAGACCTCCATACGTGTGTTGCGCGCCACGATCAGATTCAAGTCATCCAGCCCCGTGAAGTTACCTGTGAACAACACACAGATGTTACCGATCGTCGTCGTCATACGAAAGAAAAAACCGCAACACTGCGCGTAATCGCACTGAACGTGAAACCGCGATCTTAGTTCCTAAACCTTCACTGAATTTCTTGACCTTCTATAATTCTAACTGATATTCCAAGTGTTAGTTAAAATTTTAACTGCTAAACCTAACTGAAATACTTAAGCCTAGTCATAATCTTAACCCTAATAAAAATAGTAACTTCTACCCCGACTCTAATCCTAATCAAATATTTCCAACATAACAGCTACAATGAATAATGAATGGTTCATGATTTCCTAAAACTTTACATTTTAGTTAGTAAATTTACATTTGCAAAACAATTTTTTTATCCCGATCTTCAACACTAACCTAGCTAACCTTCACGCTATTAAGTCTAACGATCCTTTATTGTAGCAGAATATTGTGGCCTCATGGAATTACAGTATTGTTTTCAGCAAATGTCCAAAGAAAATTTGGCAGCCATGCATCGCATGAATCTTCAAAATACGCACATGTATGCGTTATTGTTGTTGACGTTGTGCTTTAGTTTTGAACTTCAGACTGCGGACTCACTCATTTTGCTACGGACTCCCTCGTTTTGAGGGCAGGGAGTCCAACGTTGTCAAAAGTTAATTTCTAAGTTCTAACCCTAGCTGTACAGTGATAGTGTGAAATAATTGGTAGACGTTATGGGATATATTTAGCTGTAAAATCCAGTTAATAAATGGTGTGTGTCGGGGCAGATGCGAGCATCCAACGTGAAACAGTTAGGTCATGTTGTATATATAAAAGAGAACACTTTTGTTTACAAAGTGCGACCTCGTGTGTCCAACTTTGCTACGCAGTGGAGGACAACAATTTGTAGCGCCGGCCTTGCACTGTTAGCTTACTACTTTATCGTCTTTATAGATTATCACGTAATATTTATCATACCTGTACAACAGGCATTGACAGCCGTTGGTTTGTGAGCTGTCACGACATATGTATGAGCCATCTTAAACCGCAGAGTCGATCGAGATGTCAGTTACAACAACACGACAACTAACCGGCGATGGCGGTAAATGTGCTACAGTGCATGTTACCGATCATATATCAAAACAAGAGAACAACGTCATTGCGCGCAGTTTCTTCTTCTCCGACTTGATATGATTTCGCATATTTGCATTTATTGTTTTTGCTCCCTAATCTTAACATATTTATAAACCCATTTTGCATTATTTTTTATTGTACGAATAATACTAACCTCCTTAATTTGACTGTAAATAAATAAATAATTGCCTATCGTCGGCATGTTTATTTTGTTACCGTAAAATCAATTTTTTCAAGTCATTTTCAATATTACTGAAAATTTCGCACATACAATGCGCGGTGGCCGTTGCCGCGGTTGTTGATTCAACAATATTGAGTTAGGAAGGCACTTTATACGTGCGTAGAGACCAGGGCAAATGGCAGCGACAGGGGAGCTGCGAGAGTGCTTGCGTTTCGGCTTACGAAAGTGTTTGCGTTTTTTACTGGCAGTTCATGGAAAAATGGCAGGTATTCATGATCAGGTATTGTTCCACGCTAGGGTCACTAACGTGATGTCACGCGAATGATCTTCATCGCGTGACCGCTGCCTGACATTGCAACCAACTTAGTAATAACCAAGCCTATCAACACGAGGGAAAATCGAGTGAACCCTTTTTTCTTCAATGCAAAATCAATAAGTGTAATAGCCGCAGAACCGTGGCTAGCAAAGTACAGGAAAGCAAATAGTCACATATGAATAGTATGAATGCAAAACAAATAAAGAGGATCATATCGAATTTGAACGTATATGCACTCGTCGCTGCTTCAAATTTTTGACTATATAATGGCTTTTATAATAATATAATATAATAATAAGCTAATATAGGCTCTGACCGTCTAATATATATATACAGCATATAATTATATATATATATATATATATTATATATATATATACATATATATATAAGTTATATACGGACACGGTAGAAATTTTGCATCGTTTATTGGCATACGAAACGTTTCCGTCGGAGGCGAAAGCTCACGACTCATGCATGGCCTAATAACAGCGAGTGCATGTTATAAGATATGATATATATATACTAAATATATATAATAGTGACTAGATATAGTATATATAACAGTGAAATATATATATATATTATTATTATATATATATTATATACTAATATATATATATATATATATATATATACAGTGAAACCCCGATTTAACGCGAATTCGGATATAACGCGATTAGTCATTGGACCTTTTTTTGCTCTTTTCGGAACTGAAAAGTTTTTTGGTGAGTTAAGCCGGCTTTAGGTCGAAGCGACGATCGCCTATAGATTGCGCAACTAAATTAGTTTACGTGACTTAATTAATTGTTGCTGTGGGGGTCAGTTTATACGCTGATTTTCTTGAACCCCGATTTAGCGCCACCCCGCTGTTTTCGCGTTGATATTTTATGGACCTCATAGCGTTATGACGGGGCCACACTGTATATATATATTGCTACTTATTTAATTATGTCAGTGAGGCATATACATTTCCTTGGTTTCCTAAATTCTTCGCTGCATCTAACCTGCAGTAACATATAATAAAATTCTGCCAATCATAACTTGACCCTCGTCTTCATCTGGAGAAATGGCTATAGATTCTTTATTAATAATGTTCGACGCTATACTCCTGCTGTTTTATTTAACAAATTGGGTTCTTATGAGGAATCAGGGGGTTATCGTAATACAAGAAGAAGAAGAAGAAGAAGAAGAAGAAGAAGAAGAAAAAGAAGAAAAAGAAACAGAAGAAGAAGAAGAAGAAGAAGAAGAAGAAGAAGAAGAAGAAGAATCTTTTCATTATTTTCGTGCCTGCTGTAAAAATAAAAACATACGATAATGCCGCGTCTGAGAATTAATGCATGCACTGTTGCTCTGAAGCTGTCCATGTAGCACGCAAATGAGTTGTATGTATATATGACTGTCAGATATGAGCGAATGTCGTGTATATAAATAACGCAGACAACAATCAAGGAATCCCATCGTAAGTGGCATCAGCATCAGCATCAGCATCAGCATCAGCATCAGCATCAGTATCAGCAGCAGCATCAGCAGCAGTGACGACGCTCGCCCGGCTGTCTATTGCATGATATATATTCAAATGTTATGCCGCTGAATTTTTAAACAGATGACGTGTTTCGTTGCACTCGACGAGTTTCGTAATAGCGTGGAGAACGGCGGGCGGCGTGAAGGGCGGCGGGGCGGCGTGAAGGGCGGCGGGGCGGCGTGAAGGGCGGCGGGGCGCCGGGGCGCGAGTTTTTTTTTCCCAGTCGACATATCCCGACCAGGGATTTAGCGCCTTCTGATTGGCTGCTTCGATTTGCTTTGCCTTTGACAAGAGAACAAACGCCCATTGGTAACATAGCGAAGAATTGACGTCGCGGCTCATCCGCACCCCGTGACCGGCCGAGGACCAATCACGATCGCGCTGGCAGCCGATGACAGTCGAACACGAATGGCGGCTAAATGCGATCACCGATCGCTCTGTCGTCCGCTCCGTCGGCAACGCTCGTGACGTCATCGCTACTCGTCGGCGGACGGGCGTGGAGCGATGACAAGGCGAGTGTCTCTCTCGTCTGCTCGCATGCAGCACCCCCCCCCCTCATCGTGACGGACGCCGAGTGACGTCGTCATGACGACACGTGACGTCACGTGTCATTAGTCATATTCACGAGGACGATATAGCGTGTGCTGATGTCACTTAGGGTGGTGAGAAAGGAGGGGGACGTAGGAGGAGGATGGTGTGGGAAGAGGGGGAGGAGGGGGAGGTAATGTGTGGGAGGAGGGGGGTAATGGGGAGAGGATGGTGTAGGAGGAGGGGGAATAGGGGGAGAAGATGGTGTGGCAGGAGGAGGAGGAGGGGGTAATTGGGGAGAGGATGGTGTGGGAGGAGGAGGGTATTGGGGAGAGGATGGTGTGGGAGGAGGAGGGTATTGGGGAGAGGATGGTGTGGGAGGAGGAGAGGGAGTAGGGGGAGGTGATGTGTGGGAGGCGGGGGCGTAGGGGGAAAGGATGGTGTGGGAGGAGGGGGAGGAGGGGGAGGTGATGTGTGGGAGGCGGGGGCATAGCGGGAGGTAATATGGTGGGAGGATGGGGAGCGCAGGGGAGAGGGTGATGTGGAGGGTAAGGGGAGGTGATGGTGTAGGGGGCGGGGGAGAGCGTAGCCTTACACATACCCACTGTCGCACGCGCACTCGCCCGTACAAACACACATGCATGTATAAAACTTAATAGCCGCTCGTCATTTTGCGTTCGTGAACGCTCGCGGCTCATGCTATCATCACAAACGTCGCGTTTCATACGCCTTTTACTCAATCCTCCTGTCTACGATTTTCATGTCTTACAAATTTTTACGATATCTGTGTTGTTGCTGGTGTGTTATTAGGCATGATGGCGGCATGTAGGCATGATGGCGCCATGTAGGCATGATGGTGGCATGTAGGCATGATGGTGGCATGATGGTGGCATGTAGGCATGATGGTGGCGTGTAGGCATGATGGTGGCATGTAGGCATGATGGTGGCATGATGGTGGCATGTAGGCA